CTAAGCAAGGTGCTGAAAAACGGAAAGATTTCGTTAGAAACAAAGAAAAAAGAGTGTTGGATTGTTATGTGTTATCCATCCACTTATATGGCTGTAAATGTTCGACAATTACCCGAAAGTTGGGGGAAAAGCTAGAAATGTGGTTCTACAGAAGGATACTGAGAATACTATGGATGGAACGATTATTTATCAAGGAAGTCTTTCAAAAAATGGCAAGAGAAAGAACACATATTTAAAATCAAGAAAAGACAGATGAGATTCCGTGAACGCATAATGAGGAAGGAGGGCTTGGAAAATTTAACCTTCACAAGGCATATTGAGGGCAACAGATTTAGGGGAATACAGCTTGTGTTAATGGATGGCAGAATGGAAGTATGGGGATGGGGGAGGGCATTAGCAAAGGCTGAAAAACTGCTAAGAAACACATTAGTTAATTAATTGTGGAGAGCCATGACCGTCTCTCCTGAAGAAGATTATTCTATTTTCGTTTTATTTCTTCGTACTCTCTCGCTTTCTCTCTCTCTCCCTCTCTCTCTCTCTCTCTCTCTCTCTCTTATTAATTCAACTACACGCATATACACACTCTCACTCTCTTCTATAAATCTCTCACTATTTAACTCTCTCTTCTAATCTCTCTTTTTCTCTGTCTCTCTTTCTTTTTCTCTCTCTCTTTCTCTAAATCTTTTTCTTTTCTCTCTCTCTCTTTCTATCTACCTCTTTCTATCTCTCTCTTTCTCTCTCTCTCTCGTTTTCTTTTTTCTATCACTTTCTCTCTTTCTATTTTTATCCCTATTTCTTTGTTTCTCTCTTCCTTTCTCTAACTCTCTCTTTCTATCATCTCTCTCTCTCTTTCTTTCAATCTCTTCCTTAAATCTCTTTCTCTCTCTTTATTTCTCTTTCTCTGTTTCTCTCTCTAATTCCTTCATTCTCGCTCTCTTTCTCTCTCTCTTTCTCTCTACCTTTCTATAACTCTCATTTTCTCTCCTCTCACTCACTCTCTTTTTATTTACTTTCTTCCTTAAATCTCTTCCTCTCTGTTTATTTCTGTCTCTCTATTTTTCTCTCTAATTCCTTCTATCTTGCTCTCTTTCTCTCTCCCTGTTTCTTTCTCTAACTCTCTTTCTCTCCTCTCTCTTTCTTTCATTCTCTTTCTCTTCTCTCTCTCTCTCTCTCTCGCACCCTCCTTTCTACTTTCATTCTCTTCTGTTCCTCCGTCTACATTCTCCCACTCTCTGTTCTCTCCTTTCATCTTTCTTTCTCCACGACCGACACTTTCCGAAAGAAACATTTACCCGAGTCTCACCAACCCTTCTGTTCCTACCCTGTGCCTATGTTTAATGAGAAACGCACACAGAAAGACAGACGGCGTTCAAGGGGGCGAGAATTAACGACCATACGTCATTTGTTACTTTAACTACAAGCGGATGACTGCAGGGTGGTGTCGTGGCTTCCAGCTTATTTGTATAAACAATTCTCAATCATCTTCTGCTAGGCAGACCGTCAATATCTCCCCAGACCCCCAGGGGAACTACAAACGTGTTGGTCCTAATGTGCACACACATAGATAATAATGAAAATAATACACAGATATGTTTAACAAAAAAGAAAAGAAAACGTGTGGAATTTATTAACAAACGGAGATGTGGATAAATGCCTTTATTGACAGAGACACACAACAACACAAAATGTACGCACAGGTCTGTAAACTTACGGATATGGAGACGTGTACATTGAGACATGCGTATCATGCCATTTTGCCCTGATATGCGCATATACACGGGCGAATACAAACATACAAATATGCGTACAAAAAAGTAGACGATAACAGATGAATATAAAATGGTAGATCAATAACTCCGTAGCCAAATGTTGACAAAAGTATTTATTTTGTACAACAAATATTGATATTTTAACATAATTCCTTCCATGTCAATGCACTTAATTGAGTGGTAGATAAGCATTATACAGTGAAAATGTCGACTGATAAACGTGCGTCGGGCCACGGACTTGCTGAAACGGAATATGAATAATTTATCTTACATTTTCTAAATGTACAAACACGCATATACATTCTCTCTCTTTCGCCCCCATATCTCTCTCTCTCCATCTCTCTCTCTCTCTCTCTCACACACACACACACACACACACACACACACACACACATAAGCATACATGCAAAGGCAAATACACTAATCTAAAATATAATCTCGTTTATCTCTTGCACACCCATATCTCTCTCTCTCTCTCTCTCTCAGGCATAAACTTAACACATTTTAATCCAGACGTACGTATATTACTATATACGCATGCATCTATCTATCTATCTATCTATCTATCTATCTATCTATCTATGCCAGTCTGTTCATATCTATCTATCTATCTATCTATCTATCTATCTATCTATCTATCTATCTATGCCAGTCTGTTCATATCTATCTATCTATCTATCTATCTATCTATCTATCTATCTATCTCCTTTTGTTCATATCTATCTATGTATCTATCTATTTATGTATGTATGTATCGATCTATCTATCTCCTTTTGTTCATATCTATCTATCTATCTATCTATCTATCTATCTATCTCCTTTTGTTCATATCTATCTATCTATCTATCTATCTATCTATCTATCTATCTATCTATCTCCTTTTGTTCATATCTATCTATCTATCTATCTATCTATCTATCTATCTATCTATCTATCAATTTCAGTCTAATTATATCTAACCCATTTTGTTCATATCTATCTACCACAGTCTCTATCTATTTTTCTACCGATGTATCTCTTTCTTACGCACACCTACACATATATTATTGGAATTCTAATACAAATAATTTTTCTTCTTAAACTCTCTAAATTTCTCTCGAAGTTCACTCCCACTCCTTTTCATCTAAACATGCACATATTCATAAGCTTTCTTTCTCGTTTTCACTGTTCTCTCCGACACAGATCTCTCTCTCTCTCTCCCCCCATCTCTCTCTCTCCCCATCTCTCTCTCTCCATCTCTCTCTCTCTCTGTCTCTCTCTCTCTCTAAGGCGGACACATGCGCGCATGCGCATACATACTCATCCAGTCAAAGCCATGTCGTCTTTATCGTTATTAAATATTTGTTCTCCTCATACCAGTGGGAATCACCAGCTTGTTGCAGGCTTTTTATAACTTTTGCTTAATGCAAATATTCGCTGGGTCATCTATCTCCATAGTGACAAGTGACCCTCGTCACTTCATTCGATTATTTCACTTTGAATTGGACTTTCTTTTCTGGCATGTTTTCTTCTTCTTCTTTCTTTCTTTCTTTCTTTCTTTCTTTTCTTTCTTTCTTTCTTCCTTCCTTTCTTTCTTTCTTCTCTACTTACTGCATTTTTCCTTTTGGCCATTTTCGCTTTCTTATTTTTTTCAGTCTTTCTTGATTTACTTTTTGTTTCTGTCGTCTTTTCTATCCTTCTTTCTTTCTTTCTTTCTTTCTTTTCTTTCTTTTCTTTCTTTCTTTTTTTCTTGCGTTACACGTTCATATTTCTTTTTTCCAGTTTTTGTTTGTTTTTTTCTTTCTCGTCACATTTTGTCTTTCTTCTCTTCTCGCGTAACAAGGTTTTTCTTTTTTCATTCTTATTTTCCTTTTTTTTTTTAATCACGTCTGTCTTTCTTTCCATGTTCAAGTTCTTTCTTTCTTTCTTTCTTTTTCTTGTGCCGTCTTTATTCTTTCTTATCCCGTTTCTTATTGTTTCTTTTTTTTTTCTCATTCTATCACCGCTACCGTTATTTTCTTTATTTTCCATTTTCTATCTTTCTTTTCTTTCTTTCTTTTCCGTTCTATTTTCTTTCTTTCTCCCCTCCCATCCGTTTTCCTTCTTTATTTCTTTCTGTTTTTCTTTCTTTAGTCATATTTTATTTGTCTATTTCTTTTATAATACTTGAAGTAATACATGAATTAATAGTAGTCATAATAGCAGCAGTGTTAGTATTAGTGTTAGTAAAGTTAAGAACACAATCATACTCGTAGGAGAGAATATTCCTATTTTGATAATGGTAAGTCTAATTTCAAAGAAATATGATAAAATTATGACAACGCCTGATGAGAAAGACATAAGATGGGAAAGGAAAGAAAAAAGGAATGAACGAAGGAAAAGAAAAAAGAAAAGAACATGTCAAGTTTGTTGTTGAAATAGGTAATTTTCACAAGAAATCAGTATTCGAACGTAAGCAAAAGCCAAGATATTTTAAGTGCTGATTTTCAAGGCATACTTTTCTCAATATTGAAAAAAAAAACAATCTTCCTTTCCCCATTTATGTCCAATTTGTACACAGACTTGAATAAGCAAAGCTTAATTAAAAAAAAAATATTTAAAATATATTCATACCTGAGATAAAGGTGTACATTATTTTGATGCTAAAGTCCGGACTCGATCTTAGACAGAAGCCAGAATATTGATTCAAATATAAGCAGACATCCTCCCTTTGAAGGATTGCGCAACATGCTCTTCAAGTGTTAATTTTTTTTCCCTTTAATTTTGTCTCAGGCCGTACTGATCTAATCTTGTGTAAGGTTGACCATGTACCAGAGGATTCCATTGTTCTGCCAATGGCATTCTGATCTAGATCCGGTTTCTGAATATTCTTTTGAAAAATTGACGCATTACAATCATCCTAGCAATATTTAAGTTTATAACATACTTACATAAACTTTGTAAATACCAACATTTTTTTAATAAATCTTTTCTTGTGTTTTGTTCATTCTGTTTATGCTATGCTAACAAAGAGACGCCATCTTTTCTGGTCCTTTTTTTTCTTGCTTTGGTATTTAAACTTACTCAAATTCCACTAAACCTTTTCCTACATTTGCTTTTTTATTATTTTCCTCTTTTGTTGTTGTTGTTGTTGTTTCTTATTTATTCATTTATTTATTTTTTTTTTTTTTTTTTTTTTCAAGTGACCTTCTGTGTTTTTTTCTGAATGTCCAAGGTCGTTAATTCTTTCATTCTTTTGTTCTCGGTTACTTTATGTTTCTTTCATTTCTATTCCTCATTTATTTTCCTTCATTTCTTTCTTTTCATCCTGTCCGTTTGTCTCTAGTTCTTTCTTTCCATTTATATCACTCTTTTTCTCTCTTTTTTTTTTACTTTCTTCTTCTTCATTCATTTTTTATTTTTTGTTTTTTTCCCTGTACTTTGTTTACTTTCTTTGATTTTTCTTCCATGCTCCAAGCCCATTTTCTTTCTTTCTTTCTTTCTTTCTTCTTTCTTTCTTTCTGTCTGTCTGTCTGTCTGTCAGTCTGTCTTTCTTTATTTCTTTCTGTACGTTTACCTGTCTTTTCTTTCTTTGTATCTTTTTTCACCCTTTTTTCCATTTTGCACAATTATCTTTTAACTATTCTGTCTTCATTTCTTTCTTCGCATTTTTATCTTATGCTAATCGCAATTCTTTCTCATTTTTTTCATTCATTTTCCCGTCTTTCCTTCCTTCTTTCTTTCTTTCTTTCTTTCTTTCTTTCTTTCATTCATTCATTCATTCGATTGGGTGTTGTTTCTTCTGCCCTGCTTGTTTATATCCCTTTCTTTCTTTGTTTCTTTCTTCCTCTACTTTATTTTATTATATTCTTTCTTTATTTATTTATTTATTTTACTTTTAGCGCTTATAACCGTTAACCAAACCACACATCAGTCTAAATTAAGAAAGGAAAGAGCCATTATTTTTTTAAATTATTAAGGCGATAAAGCCACTGAGACGCAAGGGGGGGTTGTTACGGGGAGTTGAAGAGAATTAGAAAACTTTACTGAGGAGAAGGGTCAATAAAAGAACAGGATTTTGAAAAACAAAAGATGGCGAATGACATTGCATTTAAATTTGATGGGATTTTAAATGACAGAGAAAAAATAAACCGGAAGCTAGTTCACAGACGGGAAATGCAAGAAAAGACACATTTAGAATAGAACTTCCGGTTTCATCTAGCTAGTCCAACAGTAAAACAGGGAGACCCAGTCGCCATTCTAGTAGTACGCTTAAATTCATACTATGAGGGAAGATCACCAGAACAATTTCCATTAATAGAAAAGACAGAGGGAAGCCATGACATGACAGAGTGAAAGTGACTGATCGAGATGTCAGGTCAGTATCGATTACATTGCAGACCCTTCTTTGAATTTTGCTGAGAATATCAAGATATGTAGCAGGAGTGCGGCAGAAAGATTAAATGGTCCAGATCAGTAGACCTAACAATTGATTCAATGTAATCACTTCACTTCACTTCATGTCAGGGAAAAAATAATAAGTCCAATAAGGCGGACAAAGATACTCTCCTGGAGGTTAGCATCAGCCATGAGAATGGAAGGCAGGAAAAGTTCTCTATAATGATTAAATGATAGCTGATTTGTTTGGGAGGCGTTCAAATTTACAAGTCATTTCTTGCCCCAATTAACAACTAATTGAAGGTCATTTTCAAGAGTAACTGCGAGTTTTACGTTACCGGACCTATCAGGCTTACTATTAACGCGAGATTAAATAGTTGTATCATCAGTATACATACTATGTCAGGGACTGATGACATCGGGAAGAGCGTTAATGAAAATAAGAAAAAACGTAGGTCCAAGGATAGAGCCCTTGGGGACATTAATGTGAAATGTACTAAAAGCATGTCCATTAAACATGACCTTTATTGCACGATTTGTGAAGAACGATTGGATTAAGCTAAATATTCGTACAGGGACGGCGTATCCCTTGAGCTTGTGGAGAAGACCAGTGATGATAAAAACGCCTTCGAGATATCTAAAGACACAACCTTAGCCTCGCCGTTCTTAAGGAGCACATTTCCTTCGGATAATTGCAGTGATACCGTCAAATCCGCAAACCTTGTGGGAATCTAATTTGAAGATGATGTAGAAACCATGGACGAAATTGTGTGTCTATGACTCAGTTAAGATTCCGTTCTAGAGTGGGGGGGGCATCAGACAACGATACTCCTGAAGAGTTGAGAGTGGAGGCGGGATAGAATTTTCTGCTTTATCTGCAGTAAATGATAATACTTCAGACAGATTGAAGAGAGACGGATTCGGTTTTTTTTTTTTTTTACGGTATATCAACCTCAATGGGTCATTTAATGCCGACAACTTTTTTTTCTGGTAATATTTTTGTTTTGTCAAAAATCTATTTCTGTTAATATTTTTTTCCTAAACAACGTATAGCTGGTAATATTATTTTTTTCAAAAACGTATAGCTGGTAATATTATTTTTTCAAAAACATATTGCTGCTAATATTATTTTTTCAAAAACGTATAGCTGGTAATATTTTTTCAAAAACTTATAGCTGGCAATAGTTTTTTTCAAAAACATATTGCTGGTAATATTTTTTTCTTCAAAAATTTATTTCTGGTAATAATTTTCTACAAAGTATTTCTGGTATTAAAACCTATTTTTACATTTTTATAATGGCTTTTACCTCAGGTTCTGTGTTAACTATTTGCCCATAGCTGGGACCCTAACCGGTGCTACTACCCCGGGTCAGGGCGGACCTGGGAACATCAGCAATTAAGAGATGGTTCTACGCTCCTCAAAGCGTCCTGATCAGAGGCCTTGCTGTTGGACGTAGTTTATCGTCTTACCCTGAACGCGGATGTAGTTTATCGTCATACCCATGACCCCTATTGGGGGCGGGGTCTTCCCCTCTGCAGAGGTGTAGTCGGCGTATTCTACAGTCCCAGCCGACAGAGTCAACAGAGTTCTGCACACTCTTAAAGAGCAAACAGTAATTAGAACTATACTTGTGAAAGACTATATGTTACCTCATTCTATCATCGAATAACGACTTTGCCTCGTTGAGAACAAGTTTACACTCATTATGAGCAGATATAAGTTAAATTTATTTAAATTTTAAGGTGTTCGGAATGTAATTATATCTTACTAGAAAGGATATAAAATTAAATGTAAGTTATATTTATTTAATTATTATTATCAAAGATCTCATCGTCTCCATTTTCAACGACTACAGTCCAGCGAGAAGGCAACGTTTTGATTCTACACTTAAAGAAATCTTTCCCCGTAAAAATAATTTGAAACGCTATTTTCAACTACTTTGTTACTGAATATACTGTCACTATTGGAACAAATAAAAAAAAATCCGTAGATGCTAAACCTAGTGAGTAAGGAAGAACCTTTTATCATAAGAATCTTACTTTTCTTGTGTTTGTATTATGGGGTCTGGAAATGTGCGCATTTTTTGTTTAGCGTTTTAAAATTAAATATTTCCACAAACTAATAACATGGGTCGGCTAAGATAGGTTTTCCTTGCCTTTATTCATATTGCCCTTTCACACATATACTCAATCTGAAATGTTTACATATTTAGTAGATATACAATGTCGGACTATAAATGAAACCCTTAATTCCTGAATTTAATTGTCTACATAATTAATTAATTTAATTGTCTACGTAACGTCAATTTCTAATTGTTGAGATGTTGGGAGTGTTCCCGCGTGTGTGTATTCAAATAAAGACAAACACAGATGTAGGGAAAAATACTGGTATATTTGAAGAGGTAATTAACAAAAGAGTGATTAGTAATAACGAACGCAGGTTAGTAATAACAATCAGCAAGAGTCTACAGTCCAACGGTAACTTCCGGTAGAGAGACGGAAGTGTAATGGTCACCTGATCTCCAGATCTCTCTGGTCTCTATCTCCTCTGGTCTCTCTAGCACTGTCCTATATCGTAGAAGGATCAGTCCATTCTTAGTCAGAAGGTGGGTGCGCCCCAACACTAATGCATACGCATTTTTTAATGGGGAAAACGTATGAAAATTTTTTTTTTCTGACACGTTTCGGCTTTTAGGACTTCATCAGACTAAATCTGTTATGATGGTACGATGACACATGTCCACGAACGAGGGATGCTTGGAATTTAATTTTTTTTCTTCTTCTTCTTCCCATCACTTTTGTTAGTATACCGGCTGTAACAGTAAAATTGTCCAATTGTTCGATTGAGATTTGATCCGTTGTATCTTAGAAATGATTAAAAAGATCTTACTGGAATTCTCCGCGGGTTCTATAACACTATTGGACTCTACTTTGAACAATAAAAATATATTTATCTCTAAGCTGTAATGATGATCTTTCTTCCTGTTGTGACCTCCTGATCCAAATTTTTTTAGCTTATTCCCCGTTCTCTTGATGGTTCTTGAATGATGTAAGCCAGAGTATGAATAGCTGTACCATTACTGAGGGTCTGAATTATCTTTGTTGCTTCACCATTACTCATTTGAGAAGACATACAGGGGTTGACACAAAATGATTTTAACCTGTTCTATTTCTAGCTGAATAACTGAAAGGGTTCTTCAGTGATTCTTACGACAAATGGTGTCAACATGGCTAAAGGTCTTGTCTGAAAACCTGGGGAAAGAAACTAGAAACGTTTACTATCTAAATATCCACTAAACTAATTGAGTTTCTTTTTCCCAGCAAAATTGTCCAAATCGTGTAACAGCGTGGGATAATTTTCCATTCCACAAAATGATTAATATCTAAAAAAAAAAACAAGAAACTAATTGTGGGATGGGCAACACGATTTGGACAATTTTGCTGTTACACCCGGTATATCCCTCACCCTGATAATAGAAGTTCTGCCAAGATTGGTGAAATGTTGTAAGAGCCAAGTCGTAAATAGATATATGAATAAAGACAAAAGGAAAACTTATCTTAACCGACGTGTTTCCTACTCAGAGGACGAAGCGCGTCGGCTAACATAAATTTTCCTTTTGTCTTTATTCATACTGTTCTTTTACAGATATACATTGTTGGAAATTTTTAGCCAATGTCATCGATCGTAAAAGAAAATAAAAATAGAGAAGTCATCAGAAAGAAGTAATTACAAAGAAGGACACAAAAAGAACATTGAAAGAAATAAAACGAATGACAGACAATGAGTTTGAAGACATTGTCGGAGACAATCAATGCTCAGATTAAAATTTCGTCTGTTTTCGCCAAATTCATCACAGACAGTTGGAGACACAGACAGGGAACGAAGCGGACAGAATTCATCAAAAGGCGAAAGAATTAAAAAAAAAAAAAAAAAAAAACGGAAATCATTGTTCTCGGAAAAGTTTATAGAATTCTGCCAATTCTTTTCTACAGATAGTAAGTTTTTTTTTGGAGGGTGGTATCGTGATAATTTTTTAGTCTTTTTTCTTTTCATTTTATCTAGTTCACAACTTCTTACCTTTTTTCTCATTTGTCTATACATTTTATCTTTCTTTCATTTAACCTTTTTCTTCTTAAACTGAATATTCTCTCTTTATTTCGTTTCTTTTTTGAAATTCGTCTTTCTTTTTTTCCATCTTATATATTTCAATCTTTTTCTATTGCCCTTATTAACTCTTCCTTTTCCATTCTTTCTTTCTCTTTTTTTTTTCCATCATTCTCTTTATTCGCTCATCTCTCTATCTCCCTCCCTTTTCCTTTTGAACCTCGTCTCTCTATCTTCCTCTCTTTTCTTTTTGAACCTTGTCTCTCTATCTCCCTCTCTTTTCTTTGTGAACCTCCTCTATATCTACCTCTCTTTTCTTTGTGAACCTCCTCTCTATATCTACCTCCCCTTTCCTTTTGAACCTCGTCTCTCTATCTTCCTCTCTTTTCTTTGTGAACCTCTTCTCTCTATCTCC